CAATGGGATTTGGGAGGTATGCAGAATGCAGAAGGTTGCTGAAATGGTGTATATGCAACTGCGTATCTGCATATCTGCGCCTAACAAAGGTGTCACTACGCACGACTGAATGTTACGTTTATAACCGTAGCAACAGACCTCAGATGAGCCCAGACGCTCTGCGGCTCTTGTTAGCTAGAGTCAATCGCCGATCAGTTACTGGAACTAACACTAACCCCAGTGGAGTGTGCGCTAGACAGGCGACGTGACCTGCGCATAGATGGGCGACACGGAACGCGCCGGCCGCGTGCGTCAGACTATAGCAGCAGCTCGGGGGAGTTCACACCGGTGAGTGCGCGCTAGATGGGCGACGCGACCCCTGAAGGCACGAGGCTAGCTTGACGCCAAACAGCGACGATCTCGAAATTAGATCTCGGCCGCTGACAACAAAGCTCTGCTGTACGGCAGTGCTGGGGAGGTCGTCGACAAAATATTCATCGATTGTTCGTACTAATCTTAATGTAATATTTACGCCCGCGTGATTCTACTCGCCCAGTTTTGTTTGCTGTTCACGATAATTCTGCATCGCACAGACGACTTGTGCTACTCCCTACCTGTTTGCTTGGAACGGTCATGTGCAGTGCTTTGCATGCGCTACCACACGCACGGCAATGTTGTTTGTATGGTCGTGTGAAGGTCGGTTCCATTTTAGGACCAACAATCTCCGTCACGAACCCCACAAGGGCAAACCGTCCTTGATCCTAACTGACTTATCTGCCGGAGTAAGATAACTAGGCCATAATAAAAATATTGTTTGTTTGCCCTCACCCGACGGGCCTCCCATGTCGGATCCTCTAAACTTAGCCAGAGTCAACACTGTGCATGAGCGCTATATATAGGTTCCCGGAATCACGAGGGAATATTGTTACACCCACTGGGCAGGTATGAAGAGATTCACAGTTTTCACTGGCAGGTGCTGCCGCGTGCAGGTTCTCTTCTTGACACCGTTGCCACACTCTATCCACACATAGCCTAATATTCAGATTAGTAATTTAATCATAAATATAATAATTATTATATAATATATTCAGTTTCATAGTCCTATTGCTATACCGGCTACAGCTGTCTATCGATCAACCCTCGGCGAATAAGTCTATTTGCAACAACCCGACGTCCGAGTCGCGACGATGCATACAGCGCAGGGGTAGAAATTAACTTTTGAACAATCGAGTCCAACGGACCGGCTCCTACCCTCAAAAAGAGGGAGTCCACAGCAAAATGAGGGAGTCCGCAGTCTGAAGTTCAAAACTAAAGATATTAACAATAACGCGTGTGCTTATTTTGATGATTCATGCGGTTGCACGTCTGCCAAATTGTCTTTGGACATTTGCTGAAAAAATACGGCAATTCCGCGAGGCCGTGCTCTGGAACAAACTAGTTCGTATAGCAGAATTTTCAGGGAGTCACACGGACTCCTGCACATGTCAAATCAGGGAGTCCGACAGAAAATCATGGAGTATTTGACTCCGGACTCGCGCCCGAATAGTTTATTAAAATCAATTAATTTATTTATTAAATTAATTTCGCACCCTGACACAGGTTGCGCCTCTTGTTTGTTTCAGCTGCCGCCAGTGCTGCTGCAGACGCAGACGTCGTCGCGCGTGCTGTGGGATGAGGAATGGTTCCACGGCGTGCTGCCACGCAACGAGGTCACCGAGCTGCTCTTCCGGGAGGGAGACTTCCTCGTGCGCGAGACCGTGCACCACGGCCAACCCGAGTATGTGCTGTCCGTCTTCTGGGAATGCGTGAAGCACTTCATCCTGCAGAAGATGCCCGAGGTGAGACGTAGGGAAGCGCGTGTAGCGATCCCGGTGAATGTCGTTGACGTCTGTAGTGAAGGTCGTAGAGGTCATAGATGCTGTATAGGTGTAGAGGTCATAGTATGCGTTAGTGATGGTGTAGAGTCATAGATGCTAGTGACGGGTGTTACACATATCAGCTGTAGTGATGGCGGTGTAGAGTCATAGATGCTTAGTGATTGGTTAAGACGTCATAGATCTGTAAGTGATGGGTGTTAGAGGCATAATGCTTAGGGTTGGGGGAAACGGTGTAGAGTCATATATGCTGTATGATGGATTAGAGGTCATAGATACATTAGTGATGGTTAGTGTAGCGAGGTATATATACTTAGAGTGATGGTGTAGAGTCAGAAACTTAGTGATGTGTTAGATCATAGATGCTGTAGTGATGGGTGTAGAGGTCATAGATGCTGTAGTGATGGGTGTAGAGGTCATAGATGCTGTAGTGATGGGTGTAGAGGTCATAGATGCTGTAGTGAAGGTCGTAGAGGTCGAAAAGGTTATTGAACTCACTTGTCAGGATGGTCAAGCTCTCAGGGCCTTCTTGGGTAAGCTTCGCTCACCTGGCTTCCAGTTCCAGAAGGCAAGATGTGCTTTCTCGCTTGTCTGTGACGACTTTCCGCAATCCGGATTTGAAAACCTTTATAGTTCTGTGTTTGACAGCCACGTGTGAGTCAGGCTGTGCATGCAGTAGAATCATTACCTCTGCCAAGGAGGTTATGTTTTCGCCCCTGTTAGTTTGTTTGTTGGTTTGTTTGTCTGTCAACAGGATATCTCAAAAAGTTACGGGCGGATTTTGATGAAATTTTTTGAACGGGTTGGTCTTGGGCCAAGAACCAATCGATTAGATTTTGGTGGTGATCCGGCTCCAGATCTGGATCCAGGATTTTTTTGTACTAGCAAGATGGGGACTGTTAAGCTGTGGCGGAGGCTTGCTATCTGTGACTGCTCTTGTTGTAACTGCACAACTCGCTCTGTTTATAATCGAAGAAAACTACGCCAAACGCACCTGCACGTCCAACCTTCCAAACTGCGTCTCATGCACTAAGGATAAATCTAGTTGTTCAGAAACACTGCAGCATAAACACTGCAGCACAAACACTGCAGCACAAACACTGCAGCACAAACACTGCAGCATAAACAGTGTAAAGTAAAGAAAAAGTAATGAAAAGGGGACAAGCAGATTATGTTCCCCGGGCTCACTCTGCATTTGAAAACAAATGGACAAGTTCGGTAAGCCAAGCGAAATCTATCGCATAAAAATGGACAATAAAAGATTTCCTTCTTGCTCTCTCACTCCTTGCCTATTAAAATGAATAACCTTGCCAATGAATAATAAATAAATAATAATTAAAATGAATAAATCTAGCAAAAAAGCAGGTTCTAGCAAGGTTCTAGCAGCATCTAGCAAGTAAAACGAGGACAATTAGAACCACAACTCCCTTCTCTAGTGCTCCCCGCTCTTTGGCTATTAAAGCAAATAAATTCCAGCTAGGTAAGTACTCAATCACACGTAATACCACTCATAAAAAGAGCGACGTAGCTCGTTTTTCATGAACCTTTTCCATTTTACAACGTTCTACAAAGAACCTATCCTTAATTTTTTACTAGGCCTAAACACGCGTATATGGTTACCACTTAGGCGATTACATATTGTGTTTGTGTCCGTGCATTAGTGCGTGCGTGCGTGCGTGCTTGTGTGCGTGTGTGCGTGTGTGCTTGTGTGCGTGTGTGCGTGCGTGCGTGCGTGTGTGCTTGTATAGGCAGATTTTCTACCACACGATACTTCACAATCACGATGTCGTGTAACATTAATAAACGTTTGTATAGGGCTTCTGGTCGATCGTCGCTATAGCTGATTAGCTACTCGTAAAGTACAAACACACATCAGCACATCATCACAATCTCTGGCATTCAAGCATGAAGCCAGACAGATGCGACATAGCGACAGCTGCCTCCACAGAGACACGTATTATACCTGCAACAAAAGCAGGCGAAAGCGCACTGCCGCGTACTAGCTGCCTCGCATCAAAGTAAACGGGGATGAAATCAGACCTTTACGTATATACAGACCTACGCACGCCCATTCACGGATACGCTTTTATACGAACAGATTAACAAGATCGCATCCCATAACTAGTCGATATGGAAGAGAAGTTTCCATTCGATGCTTACACCGTAATGCACAGAACCAGAAATACATCACCTCTTGTAATAGTAGTACTAACACAACCTTTAGATTACACTACTACACAGCTTAAGGTATGAATGACAGAATGACTACAGGTGTACCTGTACAGTTCCTGTTTGGAAGGTCACTTGTGGGTAAAACACTAAATCGACTGTGCTACCACACTTGCATAGGCGGCAGTAACAGCAAGATGTACTTTCAGATAAAAATATACGTGTTATGTAGCATATAATATCATATGCATGGAATCCATATCAAGAAACCAGTTCAAGCGACACGTGCGCAAAGTGTAGGAGTTGATTGAACTTTTTTGGACGGGTTGGGCTTGGGCCAAGAACCAATCGATTAGATTTTGGTGGTCCAGATCTGGATCCAGGATTTTTTGTGTGGGGAAGACTGGACGGTGCATGAAACTGAATCTGACTGCCAAAAAGTAAACTAAAGCTTCCAGCAAGCAAAACCCATACTACCAGAAACTCAAAATGAATCCAACACTTCCTAAAAACAAAATAAAAACTGAAAATTCCATTAAACTCTATATTGGGTGTACATACCAACAAGATGGAGGGACTGTTACGCTGTGGCAGAGGTTTGCTATCTCCGATTGCTCTTGTTATAGATACAATCAAGAGCGTAATTAACCACCTTCTTTATACGCTCTTGATACAATGCTGCTAAATCAAATATTTCATCCACACTCTGAACCTTCCTGTAAATCCTGGCTCGTTTTTAAATAAGAAATCTTTTGAACATTTTCTATTGCTTTTTCTAAACAGGGGCACTACCGCTGTGAGGGGGCGTCGTTCCCTTCAATCCAGGAGCTCATTCAATGGCACGTGGCAAGCAGTCAACCGGTCACTAAGCAGTCGAGCGCCATACTGCGATCGCCGATTCAGCGTGAGAAGTGGCAGCTGAACAACGACGACGTAGAACTAAAGGAGAAAATCGGAAAGGTAATCACTCAGAAGCATCACACCTTCCATAAATTAGCAATCTTGAAAAGCTGATAAAAATATGTAAATTCCTTTTAGCTTTAACAATTTATTTTGTAGATTCATTTAAAGGTGATAACAATCCCTATGAGTATGAAAATAAGGGGGGGGGGTGCAGTCATATTGCTTAATATTGGTTAATATTAATTATTAAGTTAAAATTAGGTTAATATTGACCTATCATAATAAACGTCAATGAAATTGACTATAACGCCGGGATTTCCACCGTCATTTTATCGAACCATCTTAATAAACCTGAATTCATTTGACAATAATACCGAGATGGGCACCGTCTTTTATCGAACCATCGCAACAAACCTCAATGCCCGTAACTACGATACCAAGATGCGCGCCATCTTTCATCGAACAATCATAACAAACCCTAATGCAATTGAGAATAACGAAGTGCATTGCGCAATGCAATCGAGAGAAGTCGTTACTACCCTGCTCGTGGAGGTGACTGCGTGCGATGGTAACCGCTCTCGCTCTCGGCGCTGCTGTAGGGTAACTTTGGCGACGTCTACTGCGCGATGCTGAAGACGAACGGGCGCCAAGTGGCGGTGAAGACGTGCAAGGCGACGCTGCCGGACGACCAGAAGAAGACGTTCCTCAAGGAGGGCCGCATCCTCAAGCAGTACGACCATCCGAACATCGTGCGCTTCATCGGGATCTGCACGCAGCGCCAGCCCGTCATGCTCGTCATGGAGCTATGCGCAGGTGAGTGAGTGAGAGGCGCGCCGCGCCCCGCCCCGCCCCACGCCGCACCCCCACGCTTGACGTATGAGGCGTGCCGAATATGGTGGAGTTGGGGGGGGGGGGCACTGGCTTCCCTCGTTCACTATGGTGATCCCACCCTTCTCTGTTCGTGGTGTGATGACATCCCTCATGCTCGCCATGGAGCTATGCGCGTGTTAATGAACGGCAGGGTAAAAAATGGGTTCGATGAGCGATTCGCTCTTCAAACCTCCGAAATCACTCCCGTGAGGCTCAAAATAGCTCCCGTTAAATTTTTGATGAGAGCTATTTTTTCCACAGACTTGAAAAAGAACTCCCGTGAAAAAAATGTTTTTTTTCCTTTGTGAGCGGCTCTCCGCGCCCCGCCCCGTCATGCCACGCCCTGCAGTGCCGCGCTGTTCAAGGGGCGTGCCAAATATGATGGAGTTGGGGGGGCACTGGCTTCCCTCGTTCACTATGGTGATCCCACCCTTCTCTGTTCGTGGTGTAATGGCATCACTCATGCTCGCCATGGAGCTATGCGCGCGTTAGTGAGCCACGCCTCGCCACACCCCACCCCGCCCCGCCACGACGGGAAATTCAAGTTTTGCAATTAGATAATCGTGCTCGTAACATCGTATTGCTCATAGGGTCTATGTCTCCCTGGGTACTTGCCGGAACTGCACCCTGGTACGGTCCGGTATAGACTGGCACGGCACCCTGGTAACTATTTAATATGGTTAGGGTTAGGAATTAAGGGTTCAGGGTTTAAGGTTAGGGTAGGGGTTAGGGTTCGGTCGGTGTGAGAGTAGGCGTACGCGATCCTAGAACCGTTAGTGGAGTAGGCGAGGTAAAGGGGTCCCGGCATATTAGATAAGTACAGGGTACGTTCCGGACAAGTAGCGCCAGGAGACATAGACGCCTGCAGCCATAGTATTGCGATTCCACCGCTGGTGCGTGTATGGTGCACGGTAGCTCTAGTTACTAGTACTATAGCTCGCGTACAGTTGCGCAGGTGCCTCGGTAGCCTGAGGTAGACGCGGCAATGTATATAGGCGTGCGCATAACGACGGTCAGTGACATGATAGTAGCGCTGATAGGGTCCTATTGTCCCCAGGGTACTTGCCGGGAACGTACGCCTGTTACTAAATACTACTATCTAATATGCAGGAACCGATACCTTGGCCGTACTCACTAACGCATCTATAGAGAGTCGCCTACGCCTACTCCCTAACCCTAACAGCATAACCGCCTAACTCTAAACCCTAACTCTAACCCTAACACCTAACGGCCTAACACTAACTCTAACATATCGCTAGATAGTTACCAGGGTACGTTCCGGTATTACTCGGACGGCTACGGCCAGGGTACGTTCGGCAGTAGCCCTGGGGGACATAGACTCTATCCAGCGCAGTACATATACCGTCAGTGATAAACTCTTGAATCTCTTCAGTAGGTACTGTAGAGGCAGTAACGCCAGCAGGGCACCCGAAAATTATATAATTAGCATACCCGCAATCATAAACGCTCTATTCCATAATATATATATTATATATATACAGAGTGTATCAATAGGAAGTTAGACAATGGGACAAAGCCGGCAAAATTCAAATCATTTGGTAGCCGCCCTTGTCTACCTATGATTATTGTGTTTAGCCTCGTAAACTTGAGTCTCAAGTCTTGCCTTAAATGCATTAAACTGTTATCCGTTCTAATCGTTGGTCTCAACTAGGGAAAAAAATGACAAATCGGGAGATATCGGTCCCAAAGCACCGATCGGTTACACTGTGGTTTTTGGAAGTTATATGGCAACATCAACTAACTGTGACCGAAACATTAAGGGCAAATGGCTTTTGATACCCTCTATCGCTTTAGCAATCAAACATACAAACAATCTAGCGAGGTTTGCTAGGCGATTTTGGAAAGTTAAACACGAACCTTGGTGTTATTGATACCATTTACATTAGAAATAAAAATTTCCCATGTTAGTATTTTTATCCATTTTATTTTTTCTTAACGCAATATGTTGCATAACATGGTAATGTACTGTCATTCGACATTGGCCTTATAATAACAACAAGACGTGTTTAACTTTCTGAATCCCTGCAAACGCTCGCTAGTTGTTTTGCTATGTTTGCATTGGGCTAAGCGATAGAGGGCTTTCAAAGGCATTGCCCTTATGTTTCGGTTCAGCAGTTGTTGATGTTGCGATATAACTTTTCAAAACCACCCATTGTACGTTTGGACCGATATCTCCCGATTTGTCATTTTTGTGAGAGCGCATACGATAGAACGGATAAAGTTTTAATGATTAAGGCAAGACTTGAGCTCAAGTTTATCGGAGGTAAACACAATACATCATAGTAGACTAGCACTAAAATGTTGAATTTTTGCCGTTTTTAATCTTCTCACTGCCTATTGATACACTCCTGATATATGATTATATATCAGTTTTCAGTACGATGCGTCGCCATACGTGCTCCCATAAACAATTATCAAAACAAATTTTGTTTCCACTTCGCTCTCACGATAGTATAGTTATGTGTGCGCACCGCAGAGACAGTGGGATCGTTAATATAGACCATTGGTGGATATGCTGCCCTCACCCCAGCCCATGCCGTCTCCTACGCCCACCAATGCTGCCCTCACCCGCAGCCAATGGCCCTCTACCCAGCCCCTGCTGGCCTCACCCCAGCCAATGGCCTCTCTACCCCACCATGCTGCGGCCTCACCCAGCCAATGCCTCTCTACCCCACATGCTACCGCTTCTACCCAACCATGCTGTCCTCACCCCAGGACCGGCCAATGCCCTCTCTACCCCACCAGCTGCGCCCTCATCCCCAGCCAATGCCTCTCTACCCCAACGCACTGCTGCCCTCACCCCAGCCAATGGCGCTCTCTACCCCACCATGCTGGCCTCACCCCAGCCAATGCCTCTTCCATAACCGCCACCATGCTGGCCCTCAACTCCCAGCAAATGCCTCTCTACCCCACCATGCTGGGCCCTCACCCCAGCCAATGTCCTCTCTACCCCCCACGCATGCTGCCCTCACCCCAGCCAATGCTCTCTAAACGCCCACCATGCGCCCTCACCCAGCTCAATGCCTGCCTACCCACGCATGCTGCCCTTCGACCCCAAGCCAATGCGCTCTTACCCCAACCATGCTGGCCTCACCCCAGCCCATGCGCTCTCTAACCCAACCAATTGCTTGTCCTCACCCCAGCCAATGCCATCTCTACCCCAACCATGCGCCCTCACCCAGCCAATGCCTCTCTAACGCCCGACCATTGCTGCCCTCACCCGCAGCCAATGCCTCTCTACCCCACCATGGCTGCCCTCACCGCCCCAGCCCAATGCCTCTCTAAGCCCAACCATGCTGCCTCACCCCAGCCTAATGCCTCTCTACCCACCATGCTGCCTCACCGCGCCAGCCAATGCTCTCTAGCCCCACCATGCTGCCTCACCCCAGCAATGCCTCTCTAACCCAATCATGCTCCCTCACCACCCAGCCAATTGCCTCTCTACACACCCCCACCATGCTACCGCTTTCTAACGCCCACATGCTGTGGCCGCTCACCCCAGCACATCTCTCTACGCCCCCATGCTGGTCCTCACCCCAGCCTAATCCTCTCAACCCCACCATGCTGCCCTCACCCACAGCCAATGCGCTCTCTATCCCAATCATGCTGCCCTCCACCGCCAGCCAATGCCTCTCTACCCACCATGCTACCGCTTCTACCCCACCATTGCTGCCCTCACCCCAGCCAATGCCTCTCTAACCCAACCATGGCTGCCCTCACCCAGCAATGCCTCTCTACCCAACCATGCTGTCCTCACCGCCAGCCAATGCCTCTCTACCAACATGCTGTCCTCACCCCAGCCAGATGACTCTCTAGCCCAACATGCTGTCCCTCACCCCAGCCAATGCCTCTCTACCCAACATGCTGTCCTCACGCCCAGCCAATGCCTCTCTACCCAACCATGCTGCCTCACCCCAGCCAATGCCTCTCTAACCCCAACCATGCTGTGCCTCACCCCAGCCACTGCCTCTCTACCCACATGCTGCCCTCACCCAGCCAATGCCTCTTCTACGCCAACCATGCTCCCCTCACCCCAGCCCCAATGCCTCTCTACCCCACCATGCTGCCCTCACCCCAGCCAATGCCTCTCTACCCAACCATGCTGCCCTCACCCCAGCCAATGCCTCTCTACCCCACCATGCTGCCCTCACCCCAGCCATGCCGTCTTACCAACCATGCGCCCTCACCCCAGCCAATGCCTCTCTACCCAACCATGCTGCGCACTCAACCCAAGCGCAATGCTCTCTACCCCCATTCCCACCATGCTGCTCACCCGCACCAATGCCCTCTCTACCACCCTGCTGTCCTCACCCTAGCAATCCTCTCTACCCCCCATGCTGCCCTCACCCCAGCCAATCGTCTCTTACCCAACCATGCTGCCCTCACCACCAGCCAATGCTCTCTTACCGCCATGCTAACCGCTTCTACGCCCACCATGCCTGCCCTCACCCACCAATGCCCTTCTACCAACATGCTGCGCCTCACCCCGAGCCAATGCCTCTCTAACCCCACCATGCTAGCCGCTTCATACCCCAACCCATAGCTGCCCTCAACCCCAGCCAATGACCTTCTATCCCACCATCTACCGCTTCTACCCCAACCATGCTGGCCTCGACCGCCCAGCCCCAATGCGCTCTCTACCCACACCATGCTACCGCTTTCTACCCCAACCATGCTGGCCTCACCCAGCCGCAATGCTCTCTAAAGCCCCACCATGCTACCGTTCTACCCCAACCAAATGCTGTTACACCCCAGCGCAATGCGCTCTCTACCACCATGCTGCCCTCACCCCAGCCAATGCCTCTCTAACCCCACCATGCTGGCCCTCACCCAGCCAATGCTGCTCTAACCCAACCATGCTGCCCCTCACCCCCAGCCAATGCCTCTCTACGGCCCACCATGCTAACCGCTCTACCACCCCA